GCCTTTACTTCACTGCCCCAAGCTACTCATCATCACAGAGACCAGTCTCCAACTGAAGGAAATGAAAGATTACTCCCAGGGACTTCATGAGTGCCATCAGAAGACTCAAACACTTCTTCTTTTAGCTCACTTGTCCAAACACTTAACATTTGAGACTATGAGCACTCTCTTGACTGAGCTGGAGCAGGTGGCTGGTGGTGTTAGACTTTTTGCTACTTTTTCTTGTCCCTCACTCAGGAGGGTTTACACCTTTGCCACCAAACCAGGAACTGTATATTGCCTGCTGAATGTACACAGGAACAGAGCAGCCCAACTAAACACTGGAACAGTGAGGGACTGCAAAGGGACTGGGTTCCTCAAACTCACCAGTCAGAACAGACCTGCTAAAGCCCATTATCAATAGACTTATCCTTGGACTGCCTCCTAGCACAATGGATTTTTCAATCTGTGTTTTGGTAAAGGGGATGCTAATGTATTTACAAAATCCCCCATATCTTCAGAGACTGCAAAAGTGACTCTTCTCTCTCACTTTGGAGTCAACTCAATATATCTCTTCCTTGCCCTCACCAGGCCAACAGTCCCATTACAAGGCACACTTCCCAACCTTTCTCCCACTTCAGGGGGTGAAGACCTCAGAGTGCCCCTTTGGCTGGCAAAATGGGAGCAGCATTAAGTGTTTTAGAGTTTCAGAATTTCTCAAAGCAATAGTACTTGTGTCATACTGGAACAGAAGGGCAAGGAAGTGACCAAAAGACAGTTGAACCTCAAAAATACATCCAAATGTATCATACAACTAAACAGATCTGATGGGAAACAAAACAAGATGTGGCCTTCTAGGCAGTTTGAGAGACATCTAAAAAGCTCTTCTGAGAATTCACATAATTCTTTTACTGTTCTCATCTTCCCACAATCCATCTAGCCTCTATAACCTGAGGCTTTCATAAACCTTCATTTATCAAATGAAGAATTCATTCATTACTTGTACTAATTATTATCACAAACAGATGCTACTATAATATACCTACAAGGTTCTACCCATACCGTATTATGAACATTCAGTAGCTGGTGACAAATCCTGCACTGTAAAGCACTTAATAAAAGAAGTCTGATCATTATTTGGCTTAAGAAAAACATAACAAACTTCCTTCTCCTAATAAAGTTGAACAGATGCAACCTTATCTCCAAATCATTACTCCTAATCTTTACATAGGCATGAAGGCTGTTAACAGCTGTATCTGACGACACTATATATTTAAAAAAATCTATCTGTAAAAAATCATATAAAATTGTATATTGACATATGCAACACAAACTGAGATTCTATATTATACCTGTACAGTCTCTGCTCAGTCATCTTTAAAGAAGAACTGATGTGAAAATTTTAAAGACTCAGTATGTTTGAGTTTCTGCTGTCTTCAGCTGAATTTTTATATATGACTCCCCAAGAGAGTCTAAATGACAAAACAAAACAAAAAAGAACAAAATAAAAAAGAGTTTAAAGGCATTGTTGTCTTACAACAACATTCCCAAATTTGAATACCAGAAAGACACTTAGACTAGGTATTTTTGCCAAGAATTCTCCCAGTCATGACCACCCAGAAACAGAGGGTTCTAAGGAGCTGTCAACACTCTAAGTGGTGGAAGTAACACATCAGCAGTTACCCAAAGTAAAGGCCACCCCAAAAATCCATTTTTAGCTGAACCAGTTGCATCACTGACAAAAACAAGCTACATTGTAACTACAGTGGTAGCTTTGTTGCAGCACTGATGAGTATGTAATCTCTAAAAACACAGTGGAAAAACTAATGTGAATCTGGTCCCATGGTCCTCAGGGCCAACTCTTCTACACAGAATGTAAGAATATTTACCTTGGGGCTGGAGGAGAGGGGAAGTCCCATTCACTGAGGAACAGAGCAGGGAAACTACTGGTCAAAATTCCTGATAAGTGTTATCACCTTAAAGGAAGCTGGAACTTGGCACTGTGTTGCAAGAAAGCTCTTGAATGTCAGGCACAGGTTTGGCCTCTGGGAGTGCCCTGAGATCTTATGGAATTTGGGTCTCGCTCTACTTAAGGCCCTAAGCCTACTTCAGGCACGCTCACAGCACAAAGTTAAACACACACATATATTTTTTTGTGATTATTGAGTGAACTGAACTCCCCCTGAGATGACACAAAGCTACACAGCAGTATTTACTCCACTGTATGTTGTTCATGAAAGTGCCGTAGCCTGAGGTCAGATGGGAACACGAGACCTTCACAGTCAGGAAAGGCTGTTAGTACTATAGTTCCTACTAAAGGAACATAGACAATAACTGAACGTACTTGCCAATACATTAACGTAAGTTTTATATTCTCATTCAAATGGTGTATTAACAAGCTTAGAATAGACTTAAGCAAGTTACATGAGAGGGTCAATATTTAGACATTATTTTAGCATGCAAAACAGCTCAGTAAAAGTGACACTAGAGTGTAATTCACTAATGGCAAATTAATGACAGTAATTTAACAAATGCAACACCCACATGACACTGACTGATGAAGCCAAGCAGTATACCTAAAAACATAAATAGCTGGAGATTTGGTTCAACTTACAGAAGGTATTCTTGTTCTTTTTTATTTTTTCATTTTCACAGAATTACTATGCTAATCTTCACAATTAATTTGGGCAGTTTTCAGGATAAAAAGAAATAACTCATCTAACTTGTAAGTTACAAAACAAGGGAGGGGACTTCAAGCATGCTCAAGATACACAACGTAAATGCCAGATACCACACCTAGACAAGCTTGAGCTAGTTACTATCAGGACAAAAACAATGCTTCAAGTTGTTTTTCAGAATGCTGATATTACTAATATATGATCTCCAGTTGGGCTACTTTTTCCAAGCATGTAGTTATTACAAGGAATCAAGAAAACACAAAGCATACAACTAGAAAATGATGGCAACACTGAGTGGGATGTGGAGTAACATATCATCAACATCACAAAATATTTAAATTGAAAGAAAGAATAATGCTTCAAGTGAGGCCTTCTTCACAGGTGTTGTAGTATTATGATTAAGTGGTTATTCATCCCTATGATGAAGACCACACTGTCTTTATGTGGTCACAAGATAGCCATGAATCTGTTTGCTTCTTCACTAAAAATCTTACTGTATCTTGAAATTTTCCAGTTATACTCCTAACATATGGCAGTCCTTATTTATTCGTGAGAAGACAAAGACAGTGTACCCCTCCTGGCACTTCTCCTGCACCAGTAAAAACAACAAGCTTTGCATCACTCCAAGGACAAAATACAATGCAGTACAGCAATCAAAAAATGATTACATGCCATAGAAAAGATCAAATTCAGAGTTATTCTGAAGAGACCTTCCTGCATCTGAATACAGCTTCCTAGGTTATTAATCCTCATCACTTCGTTTACCTTCAATCCACTCCCTCCTGGCACCAAGGCAAGTTAAGTACAGTGTTTAAGCACAGAGGGGGAAAAAAACGTTTCACCTTTGAGAAACAATTGGCTACACATTCTAATGACTCCCTAATGTTTAGCACGAGCTTTACAACTCCATGTGATAGCGCATCCTTTCATCACTAGAAGAAACACATGCACCTTTTTCCCCCCTCAAGGTACTTTGATGGTGTAATGAGCATCCTTGCAACAAAGCACTCCTGTCAACCAGCTTGGTACTATGAAAATAGTTATGTTTCCTTTCTTAGAGTTAAATATTATTTTATTATAAAAGAGTTTGACAGCTTTCTGTTAATGTTGAACCGCTGGGAAGAAGCAGTTTTAGATATAGGAAGTAACAGCTATGCCTGTCTTGAGGTCACCACGCCAGAGGCAGCAGGCCATGTGACAGAAACCTCATGTACCTGCGAGGGTCAGGCTGCAGACAGCTCTGCTTTGGCTAAAAACTGGGTGAATTACAGAAAACGAGAAAGCCAACCTACTACAAAATAGTATTCACAAATGGATTAATAAGAATAAAGAGACATAGAAATTTTACATTAGCCTCTTGTTTCCCCCCCTAAAAAAAAAAGCTTTGGGGTATTAAGTTTATACAGTTATATATACTTATATATATAAATATATGTGTGTGTATTAAAAATGTCAGTTGAAGAATACATACATTAAAAAATAAAACTTGCAGATTGTTTGACCTATCCGAACAGCCTAAGCTGCAGTTCTTAAAGGAGCCAGCAACTTTGAACGCAGCTGACAAATAACAAGATGATTTCCAACTTCAAGGTAAAAAATACAGGCAGCAGAACACTCGTCCTATACAGCCCAATTAATCTCGGCAGCTCCAGACCAAAAAACTAGAACGTGCTCCACGTTTAAAGTGCTTCTCAAAGGGCCTCAGCTTCCTGGTTATTTCAGAGTCTAGCCGAGTGTTCCTCCTGCCTCAAGAGCACATGTGCCCGTCCTCAGGGCTGCAGGGTGCTGCAAGCCTGTACTCCAGCGGCACGGACAGCTATCCGGCTCTGCTCACCTCTCATTAACAAAGAAACTTACTTTAACTTCTGCTTTTCTGTATCGACTTTCTGAACAGACGACCCGAGAACTTAGAAAGTGGAACAAACATCAGCCACATATTAATCAGTGCCTAAAGAGGGGTTTGGTCCGATTTTAGAATGAACGGCGGAGACACATGATCCAATTAAATTCTAATTATGTAAGTAGTAGGCAAGAGTATTTACACAGGCACTGATTACAGCTATTAGAGTCTAAAGTCGCCGGCCGGAGAGGCTCCGCTTCCTCTCTGCCGCTGGGCTCGTTTCATTTTTAACCTCCCCTTTCACAGCTCTCCTGACAGACAATGGGAGACTCAGCACCGTCTCCAAACCCGGACGCCAGGCTGGAGGAGCCGCGGCTCTCCTCGGAGTGATGATTCCTTACCCGTCCCACCTCGGAGCCGGGGAAAGACCCTCCACACCCCATCCCACCGCCCGCAACCCCGGCCAGGCAGCGAAACCCTCTCGCCCCGCCAGTGTCCCTTACCTCCGAACAGGTGCGGCGAGAGGTGTGCGGGCAGCGAGCCGATCACTAGCCGGGGCCCGCCGGAGGAGCCGCCGCCGCCGCCCCCGGCGAGCCGCTCCCGGCCGCCCTCCTCCGGGGTGCTGCTGACCGAGTCCTGCGAGCCGTAGGGGCCGCTGCTGTGGGGGATGTTGAAGGCGGACTGCGCCGCCCGGGCTCCGGAGGCCGTGGCCCCCCCTAAGGACCTGCTCCGGGGCGCCGACCCCGCGGCACTCCCCGCCGCCGCCGCTCCTCCGGCCGCCGCGGCCGCCGCGCCGCTCGGAGCGGCGTGAGGCGCCGCCGCCAGGTGCGCGTAGCGCCCGCCGCCGCCTGCCGAGCGCCCGCCGGTCCCGTTAGCGCCGCCGCTACTGCTGCTGCTCGAGGAAGGCAGATCCCCGCCCGAGTACGCCCGGGTGCGGCCATTGGCGGCGGTGGGGCTGCTCTGCTTCGCGCCCATGGTCCCGCCGCCGCCGGGCGCTGCCCGGTGCCCTTCGCCGCCGCCGCCGCCTTCCCCGCGGCGCCCGAGGGTGCTGGCAGTCCGGTCCCGGCGGGTGCGATCCGAGGCGCGGGTCGCGCCGGGGACGGGGGAGAGGGAGAGTCGGGGGAGGGGGACGGGTCGCTCGGTGGGTCGGTGTGGAGAGGGGAGAGCCGCCCGCCGGGATCCGGCTCAGCTGGCGGCCCCGGCGCGGCCGCTGCTGGCGGGTCTGGGGCGCCACCATGAGCTGCTCGGGACGGTGCTGGCTCCCGCCGCGCGGCCGCTCGGCCCCGCCGCCGCTGCTGCTGCTGTGCCCGCCGCCGGCGCGACCGTCACCGCCATCCTCCTCCTCGCCCGCCGCCGCTGAGCCCTGTGCGGGGCACCGGCGGCAGCAGCGCCGCCGAGGCCGCTCGCTCACCCGCGGCGCGCCGTGCCCGTGCCGAGGAGGCGGGAGGGGGCGGTCGCCCCGGCGCAGCCGCTCCTCTACCGTGTCGCCATGCTGGGGGCGGCACCAGCGGGCGGGAGGGGCAGCGGTTACGGCGGGCGGGGGCCGCCGCCTCGGCTCCCCCCGCGCCCGGCGGGAGACCGGCCCCCGGCGGCGGCGGCGGCGCAACGGGCCGGGGCCCCGGCTCGCCCCGCCTGCCGCTCCTCCCGCTCCTCCCGCAAGGTGCGGGACGGCGCCAGGTGAGGCCCGCGTGCCTCCGGCCGCCTCGCCCCGGCGGGAGGGACGGTCCCCGCGGCGGGACACACGCACGCACACCAGCGGAGCTCGCTGGCCCCTCGTCCGCCGGCGTGCCGCGGCTGCCCGCCCCCGGGCAGCGGAGAAGAGCCAGACCGCCGCCGGCAGGACGCGAGCGGCCGTGCTTGGGGACGGCCGGCGGCGGCCCCGTGTCCGGGCTCCGTTCGAGCCCCGGCAGGTGAAGGAGAGGAGCGGGGGCGGCTCGGCGGGCCGGGGTGGCGGAGCGGCGGTGCCCTCCTGTGCTCCCCTGCCGCGCCGCCGCTCGCTTCTCCGCCCCTGCGGTTCCAGCAAACGCCCGGATGCCCGAGCCCGGCGCTTGGGGCGGCTCCCGGCCGCCCGCCTGGGCCGCGGCTCGGCGGGGCAGTGGGGGAAAGGGCCGCTTGCCCCCCTTGGAGCTCTCCCGGACTTCCAACCCTGACGGTTTGCTGTGAGTCTGTTCTCCGAGAACCTGGATGTACCAGGAGACATACGGACATACCGGGAAGCAGGACTAGAAGGATGGAAATCTCTGACATCTTTGGTTCACAGGTGATACAGGAAAATCCTGTATACCTCAGTCTCTCACTCAAAGTCACTTTTTTTTACACGAGGATTAACTAAGCCGTAAATTTTATCCCAGTGTATAATACCTATGTGGATAGCAGGCTTAGTTTGATCATGACAAAACATTCAGAGACCAAAAACTGTTTTGTGTCTTGTTTGATACTGAGTGTCACATACATTGAATTTATATTATGATTCCTACAGTCGGTCATCTGAGGTAAACTGCTTGTTTTATGGATTTTTGTCTGCTCTAAAATAGACTATGTCACCATGAAGTGGTGCATCAGGACTCTCCATCATCCTGTCTCGGTAGGGATTCCAGCTACATTCCTTCCTATGTCACAGTGGCACAGTATGTTATAATTAATACCATGAAACTGATCCAAACCTTAATTAAAATAAAAAGCATTACGGAGCACTACATTTACACTTTGCTGTTTCCACTGTGCCATCTTTGATGCTCCTTCTCAGATGTGAAAGGCCTTCTGTTCCACCTCCTTTTGCCGTGTCTCTTACAACTGCATGTGGCATCGCATTCTGGCATCACTGCAGCTCACAGCTGGGTCTGCAAGAAGAGGTACCATCGTTGGGGGTAGCACTAGCCCCGCTCTTCATTCCAACACCACTTTTCTGGATAGCTGAGACACTCTGTGAATACTGTAAACGCCATTTAGAGAATGCTGGTGTAAACTGTTTGCCCGTTTCAGCAAGAGGCAGTGATTCCACAGCTGTCTCATGAAGAGTCTTTTGTGTGCTGGGTGTTGGGCAGACAGCTGGGGTCGATAATCTGCCGTCCCAAGCTATGTCATCCCCACTTGTGAATTATAAGCTGCAGTCTCTGCCGGCAGTGGTAGATACTCCAAAGTAGATCAATCATGAGCACTTTCTAGTTCAATTCCCTGCAGAAAGAAAGTCAGTGTGGATATGCTGTCTGCGCTGCCACCACCGGTTACTTTTTAAATGATTCTCCAGCTTCAGCCAAATCTCTCAGAGACATTAACAGTATAGAAAATAAGTGGTTATGTAGAAGACAGAGATTCTAATGTTCCTACAGAAAGGAAAGCTACCATAGGAATTCCTATCCTGCTAAATTCCAGGAATCTGGTTGGGCAAAGGATGTTGCAAACATGACTCATAATTTCTGCTGCTCACAGAATGCCTGTGGCATGTTGAGCCCTATTGGAGCAGGGTTAAAGGGAGCATGCTCAGAGTTTTATGGAGTTTTTAAAATTTCCACTACTGAGTGTTAGTAGAGCTGTTCAGCTGCTAGAATAAACAGCCTTTTGAAAATAGTACATTGCTACACAGTATCACAGCACTTTCTGTATTTTTTTTACAGTGGATTTAAGAATTGAGCAGGTATTAAATACAGATCATATGTGACTGTGAATAATATTTTATTCAATTTAGGACTAAATTATGATGCCTGTGGTGGAAAAAAAAAGCCCTACAAAAAAGACATCCAGTTACTCAGTCTTACAGTCATAAAGTTATATTTAACAGCATAGGATATTTCACAGAAAAGAAATCACAACAGGACAGCCTGTGTTCCCTTCTCAGAGAGGATGACTGCTCCTAGTGCAATGTGATTTTCTGTTTTTGGTTTTGGTTTTGGTTTTTTGTGGTTTTTTTTGTAGGCTTCAGTTTTTGTTTGGCATCTAGGACATATTTGCAGCTCTCTCACTACCAAGTGTGAGTCTAAACAAGACACACCTCTCAAATAACACATCTTCAGGAAAAAAAAAAAGCATGCCACATCTCTGAGCCAGCTTTCTCCCCTCAATTCTTCCTGATCTCTCTGCAAAATGAATAGAAATTTTTCTAGATTTGAAAATTTGCTTTATATAAGCAACAGTATAGTTAGGGTTTTAAGATAACATTTCTTCTAACAAATGTTTTTTAGCTGTCTATTATTGTAGAGGCAGTATCTGGCACTGTAACCTCCACCCATTTGTTCATTACTACACTCCAGAAGTAGTTTGCATAAAAACTTCGTAAGTTACAAAAGAAAGTCACTAGTGATGAGAGGAAGCACTGCAGAGAGAAAGTAGAATATCTTGCTGCTACAGATTTCAAGAATTCAGTGGAAAAGCAGATAGTTATATAAAAATTAACTTCTATAGGTCTATATGGGTGAATGCTGCTTTTGTTCCCGTAGAAACATATCTAGGGAATCATAGTCATACTTAAATAAGCACTACTTGTTCCTTGTCCAGAATAGTGGGAAAAAACTGGTTTAGACAGGCAAATATACTCACTGTTCTTTGTTACAATCTGCATACCTCCTGTTCAGTTCTGGTTGCACCACCTTGTCTATCAGCACATGAAAATAATGAACTTGGTTCTTGACTGGTTTCCTTGAACATACCAGGTGACAGGTGTGCCCTGAGCATACAAAATTCATAATATTGCACATTTTGGAAAATGTGTACTGATAAATGGAACAGGGGCCTGCATTTTGCTTGACAGAGAGCTATGCAGACAGATAATTTCCCCTCTCCCCTGCTGCCCCCTTCTTCTATGGCTTTTAAAGGGACACTGAAACAAGGATTTAAGCAAGGTTTCATTATTTACAGAAGCATCTGACCCTGAATTAATAAAGCCAGCCAGAGTTTCATTCTGTTCAGAACCAATCTCCTTTTTTCTAAAGGAGAAGTATTCGCAAAGTAATGGGATACCCTTATAACCTACCGCTTAATTTTATAATAAGAAGTATGGGCTTCTAAAACCTTCTAAAAAGGTTTAGCCAGCTAGATTTTCTGAGCAGGTACCAGGCTAGAACTGCACATTGTGATTAGAAGAGGTCAGTGCCATTTTTACATTACTGTGTATTTCATCTGTTTCAAAGAAATAGCTCTGCACACCACTTCTGCACAGATAACTGAAAATAGAGACTTCTGATGTGTTTAGTTGCTCATAGGGAAAGCAAAACAAAGCTGTTTTATACCCCTGAAATAAGACATGTAAAATGTACATGCCTTACATCTGTAGCTAGAGTAAGCCATCCAGCAGATGAGGCTGTTTTATGTTCATATCTGTACACTGAGGGAAATAGGTCCCATATAATCCCTCTCAGTGTGACTGCAAACAATGCACAAAGCTATTGTAGGAATCCCTTTAGATAGATTTTGGTGTCAGTGATGCTCCAGCTGCTGTCTGGTGTTTTTATAGATGCAGGAGACCCCATTATCCAGATTTAGATTTTTATTTGCATTAAATAACTCTTTACACATATTGATGTTAATCATATGAAGATTTGGGCACATGCTTGCACTGACACATGAAAAACAATTCTGCAACATGTTGAGATCAATCTTCATGGAATAAAAAAACCAAGCTGCTTGTCAAACTCGAGGTTTGATTTCTAAAATTGTTTTGTAAATGTGTGGTGGTGCTCACAAGGGTAAGGAGGTTCACCCTTGCTTTAAAAAATTCTGTTTAAAGCCTTCTATCTTTTGTTTGAAGTTTATGCTTTTCTGAAGTTTCTATCACACTGCAAACAATATGTTGTATTTTGCACTCTAGAGTTGTCTGTAGAGAAAACTGATGTTCATAAAGAAGATAGGTTAATCTTGAAAATAAACTGACATTTTGACTGGACTTATTGATTGACCATTTTGTACAGGAAGAAATAGTTGGAAATAACATAGTTGACAAAATGGCAATTTGTGCTTTGCACTTCATTACCACATGCTGTAAAGTAATACTTTAAGAAATATACTTCAGTTCAAGAT